CATTATATAATTATTGAATTTTTAGGCTTATCTTTTATGTTATAATCATTCTTATTCTTAGTTGCAATTATGTTCAATCTTATGCTCTAAGCAAATGTCCTATACTTCAACTCATTGTTGAGTTCGGCCAAACAGGGTGTGAAAATGCCTTCTTTGTACCGGTGAAAGTGACCTCTACTCTTGATTTTTAATTATATCGAATAATAATTTACTTTTAATAATTTTAATGATTTTTTTTTCAATATGATTTGTTACGAATGAAGCTTATTTTCTGGCTGCAAAAGGAACTCGTGTGCTTGTTTATTAATAGGATTTTTATGTGAATCAGTTATAATAAATTGAAATAAATGAAATATTTTATATTATTTTTAAAATTGATTACGCATTACTTACATGCAGACACATGGTTTCGTAGGCTTAAATTTGTTTAGATGATTAATTACGTCAAAATATCTCAAATAAAAATGCACTCTTTTACAATTATGGTTCGGCAACTTTGGAATTGGAATGTGTCCATAAATATGTACTGTAATTTTAAATAACAAATCAAATGGAACACAAAATAATTAAAAATGATACTTTTTTATATTTATAGTACAGTGATAAGTTGAAGAATAAAAAATATTTTGTGTAACAGAGTTATCTTACTTCGGCTCCCTACGTTATTTTATCAGGAACGTCAACTGGAGCCCAAGCACCATTGTGGAACTTAGAATACAGGGCTGGGTCCGGTGGTGGAAACATTGTAGATGGTGCCATCTGGCGGATTGCTTCAAGTCTGTCCAATAGGTGGCGCACTACGCCTGGGTTCTTGTCTGCTACGTCATTGACTTCATACGGATCTTTAGTAATGTTGTAGAGCCATACGTTTTTATTCAAAGAAACGTTTTGAATGTTGGGGTCCACACCTATAATATCCAATCCAACAGGTTCGCCATCCTCGGTATAGGCCAAGAGAAAAGCTGCAATAACATATTTTGGTGTAGAGGTTACAATAAAGTAAAAGAAAACAAACGCCGAACATATAATTTTTTTCTAGAAAAACAACTGTGAATAGATAAAATCCACTTTAAATGACAACCTAACTAACCGAACAATTTAATTGCTACAGAAATGCTATACAGTGATCACTTCTCTTTAAAGATAATGATTCTAAAAAGATTTTATTTGGTGAAATAAAAAGATTTTAGAAACAATTTAGGGTGAAAGGATATTCGGAAAACAAAGACAAACTCAAACGGCAATTTTTGATAAAAGAAAGCCACTTAATTTTCATTTGGAAATCAAACTGACGAGGCGATTTGGACATAAATGTACAATTAAACAATATAACTTTTTTTAAATTCACATTTTTAAGCACAATTGATTCACTGAATACCAAGAAGTATATCAAAGATGGAACAAAAACGAACTCTGTGGCAGGTTGGCATGGTTACCTGGAGTTCCAGTGATGATTTTCCAATCTCCCTGCCGTAAAGAGGCTCTCAATGACGTGTCAAAGGTGTCGTTGTACAGTCCCTTGCCACGTCTTGGAATAAATGATGGTGGGGACACTAATTCATGGATAATTTCCACTCTCGTTCCGCGGTGGTCTTTGCTGGAAGGATTTAAGTTCAATCAATACCTGTACGTTGATTTCGCATTTGCATAATACAGAGATTTTGAAAAACAAAAGTATTGGAGATACTTTTTTAATTGAAATGCTGTTCATCAAAGCTTTTTTCCTTTACTTTTCCTTCAGTCAGCAAAAACATTTGTGCATAGGTGGTACAAATAACCCGATCCCATGTAACACCTAGGACTTCAAAAGCTGCTCCAAACATTTCCCTCAGCCGACTGCTTAATTTAGGCCTGTATATGTGTAGCATGCTACCCTATCTGTAGATATTGGGGAATTCTTTTATTGGTGCTTTTAGGACCAGGATGTAACATGTATCACTCGCTGTAGGCAAATTGTAGGCAAATTTTAAGCCAACCAGTATTGCAAGTAACGATATGAATGGTTTTTAGAACAGGAGTTTACGTGTAGGCTAAGTTGCACGAAAGTCCTGCCATTGCAAATGAAACAGAAATATGGAGCATTCACAACCAGTTGATCCGTTGACTAACTAGATCAACTTGAAAGCAAGCCACATAAACGTCTTACAATAACATGATAGAAACCCTTCTACGCACGCCGTCCTAGCAAGGGCAGCTACAGCAATTTTAATTTAAAAATTTAAAAATTTCGGCACATGCTTTCAAGTACGCGCCATATTTAATCCGCGGACTAGTTAATCCGAGGATCAACTGTGTTTGAATGTCCCATTGTAGTACCTCAACACGTCCCATACATCGAATCCGTCCATCGCTTCAACCCCTTCCACCTGGACTCCCGCTAAACCCAGCAATGTCGGACACCAATCTGTGATGGTAATGAGGTCACGAACGGTTCTTCCCGGTTTCTGTAGCAGTTTACTCCATACAAAGGCTGGCACTTTTATCCCACCTTCCCAGAGAGACCGCTTGATGCCCCTGTAGGGGCCGTTGTCAGCACCCACGTCTGGGGCACCGCCATTGTCTGTCAGAGAGAACATTATTGACAAATAAAAGGCAATGTTGAGACGTGTTACAATCGTGACTGAGCCTGATTTTGAGGAAATACTAGTGCAACTGACAATTTTGTCGCACCCATTTTTACTTTCAAATAAAAGAAAATGCTTTGGATGGTTTGGTACGTGGGAGAATTTTACAACTTACCCAGGGAAAATCTTGTTGGTTTTATGTTTTAATAAGTACAACAGAAAGACACCGGTCGATTTTTATTGCTAAAATTGAAATTCCTTAGAGCTTTATTTTAATATGAGACTGTCTCAACGGGTAAAATCTGTCTCGATTTTAATTTTTCTGTGAAACTGATAAAAGAGCCAGTTGAAATAGAGTTTAAAGAGAACGCCACCTACCGGACGAAAATACAATCACAGTGTTGTCAAGCATTCCTTGCTGTGCCAGCGAATCCATCACCTCGGATACAGCCTCGTCTAATGCAGATACCATTCCTAGAAAGAAATTAAAACAACTTAGGACACAAAGTGTTAAAATAATTTGTCCTGTGATCTAAAAAACTCATTTCATGTGGTGGCCATCTTGGATTAGAGCCATCTGTGTTCATATATACAATTTTAAAATAAATTTACTGGTATAAATTGAAAATAAAGACTTCAACCAATTCAAATCCATCAAAACATGTAAAATATTCCGAATTTTTGATTGATGAAAAATGTCAAATTTAGGTATCTGTATGCTTTCACAAAAAAATAAGGAAAATTCTTTACTTGTAGATGATGTCATTCTTGTTAGGGTGTTTTGAACATAGTGTCAGCCGTAATGAAAACTGTCCAACCTAGCAAAAATGGTACCCTGAAACAGCAATCCGGGCTCCCGTACGATAAGGTAGGTAAGAATACAGCCGCATGTCAGTATATGGAGCAAAGGTCACGTGTAAGAAGTATTGGGAAACTGACTCCGGTTCCAAGCAGGCTGCCCATTCCTGTCACGTGACTGATAAAAGTAGCCTTAGCAAAATATCTGGTCTGCCAAAAACTAACTGTTAATTTGAAATGGGGAAATGGAATGTCGAGAAATGTGTTCTTTAACTTATTTAATTCCGTAATTAAACACTAATTTCGTTAGCAGTTTGTGGAGAAAACATCCAAAACTGTTGCATGATGAGGGGAAAGATAAAAAAAATGTCCGTATCTCACCCAAGTATATTTTCCTGACGCCCTCCGGTACGACCCCGTCATAGAGTGCCTCGTATTTCTTGGGTACTTTTAGAGGTTCGTGCACAAGTTGAAAGGCGACATATAGGAAAAGCGGCTGAAAGCATGAAAATCGCAAAACACTGTTAAAACCGGATCATCATGTATCATTATTATTATTATTATTCATTTCATTTACATAGCAAAATAAAGTGACTATTTTCGTCGAATTTGAATAGTAAGTAAGACAGTTATAAAGGGAAATAAAATTTAAATAGTAGGCAATAGACATATTACAAAAGAATAAAAGACAGTGGAATTGCCCATGCTTTATATGCATTTATGTGCTTCCTTTGATGTAAGTTCTAGTTGGAACAGCTAGCACCGACTGTGCTGGCGCTACACAGCTTCTTAGCACCGCTTTTGGAATGGCGATGTCCGAATAAAAAATGTTCTGGCAGAAATTGTGCGAAAATCCACGCTACGTGATACGCCATGTTTCTGCCTTTGTTTGTCTGATTCCAGTCCCAGATGACGTCCCTGTGTGGACGGAATTGGTGCTTTCGGATTAAAAAAAAGCAAACTCAAATGACGTCAATGCGGTTTCCAATCCAGAAAAGTCAATTCTAGTATAGGAGTTTATCTGCACTTAGACCCCATTCCCATAGATTTTAGATCGATCTATCCCTGTGGGGAGTCTCACTAGATTGCTGTCAGCTTAGCCGGCTTAAGCGTCTGTCCCGCCTACTAAAAGCTGTAAGAGGGTAATTAACTATGGTGCGCGCACGGCTGACTGCAATTTAGCGTGAACCCCCAGGGAGTTAGGTCGATCTAAATCTTAATCTCTGGATCGATCTAAATCTCTGGGAATGCACCCTTACATTGTAATGTGGGATAGTGATATAAAGAGAAACTCACTTTATCAGCATCGTGTTTCTTAATAATGTCCTTGGCCACATCGGTGTAGATGTACGTGGCAAACGTCCCGTTTTTGGTCCAATCTGGCTGTGTTCCGTTCCAAAGGTCAAGACCACACTGACCAAACGTGGACAAGCATTCCGTGTGAGTAAAATAGTCATTCGCGGCACCGAAAATACCTTATGAACGAGAAGATAAGGGTTTTTTTATACCAAAGTGCCAAAACCATAAAAAAGCTCGCTGTCTTATATGACTAACTGAACTACATTTATATAAAGATAAATTTGTCAGTAAATCATTTTCTCTGCAATTATAGCCCCAGCTATAAAACACATATTCCGGGAGATAAATAAACTATTAAATGATTAAATAAACTGAATAATTTACGAAAATGTCATCCTGACTAATCATTATAGCAACTTTAGTTTTCAAAAGCACGAAATCGGCTTCAGGAGAGAGAGAGAGAGAGAGAGAGAGAGAGAGGGAGAGAGAGAGAGAGAGAGAGAGAGAGAGAGGGAGAGAGAGAGAGAGAGAGAGAGAGAGGGAGAGGGAGGGGGGGAAGAAGGCATACAGGTACAAATCTAAAGCTTTTAAATTTATCAAAGTTAGCAGATGGCATATTTAATAAAAAATCAAATCAAAGNGAGAGAGAGAGAGAGAGAGAGAGAGAGAGAGAGAGAGAGAGAGAGGAGGGAGGGAGAGAGAGAGAGAGAGAGAGTGAGGGGAGAATATATCTAGGGGAATCTTACCATAAAAACTATCAAATCCCCTGTAAAGAGGAGTGTTCTTCCAAGTGTAGTGACCAATGTGCCACTTGCCGACCATTTGGGTTCGGTAACCTCTCTCCTTGAGCCGCTGTGGAAGTAAAGTCTCGTTCAGCGGCAGGGCCATAGGCATCCCCTGCATGTAGGGCAAAGAGAGGCCTGTCCAAGCCTGAAAATATAAATTACTGGTAATTTGAGGTTAAAGGTACAGTTCATGGGTCTGAAAATCCTCCAAATGTTTATTTTTGCCATCCACATATACATATACTACTTTACATACGCCTTAAAAACGATTTAACTCCTTAAAGAATTTATTACGAAGCGTACTTGATGTTGATACTTCTATCGGAGCTTAGGGAGATGGTCGCTGGTAGGCCTAATAATGAATGGCCTTTTAAACTAAGTCAACCTTTATAAATTCACTTAAAGGTCGAATCCAAGTAGAGAAAGGGATAGATTAGAGGTTCGTAAGTGCTAGAAAATGGCTAATTTCCCCGGGAAAAAAATCCATTTTGGTGGGTAAATCCCATCAATTGCCCTTTCATGGATAAAGAAACTCCAAATTAACTTTGCCTAGACCATATGCAAGGCTTGAATTAACGATAAGGCTTATTTTCCACCGCGGTGAACATTATTTTCCACCGCGGTGAAAATTATTTTCCACCGCGGTGATAATTATTTTCCACCGCGGTGAAAATTATTTTCCACCGCAGTGTAAATTATTTCTCACCGCGGTGATAATTATTTTCCACCGCGGTGAAAATTATTTTCCACCGCGGTGTAAATTATTTCTCATCGCGGTGAAAATTATTTTCCACCGCGGTGATAAATATTTTCCACCGCGGTGTAAATTATTTTCACCGCGGTGAGAAATAATTTCCACCGCGGTGAAAATTCCATAAAATAAAACTTAAATGAAAATAGAAAAAAGTTAATATGATACTAACAAAGCTCCGTAGAGATGGGCTCTATAACAATAGTGAATTCGTATGCCGTGTAGAGGGCTGTAATTTAACTATATAAACATTTCTAGTGATTTAACTATGCAATTTAATTATACAAACATATCTAATGAAATCTCGTTAGTTCTCGTAGAAAAGCGAGAGATATACAGTGTAGAGTGATATAAAGGAAAGAAAGAAAGAGCTATCAGGACAGAAAGAAATGGTTTGAGAGTAAAGGGATGGATAAAAGGAAAGTGGCCAGAATGACACACGCACACACACACACGCACACACACACGCACACACACAGAGAGAGAGAGAGAGAGAGAGAGAGAGAGGATGGAAATTAACAGTGAGAGATAAAGAAAGAGCTTACCGCATTCCGACCTGTTAATAGTTCTCCTCTGCTTGGAGTACACACAGACTTGGCGTAATAATTCTCCAGTTTGACTCCCTCCCTAGCCAGTCGATCCAGGGTTGGCGATTTCACCTGGTTGTTATGGTAACCTACGTCGTTCCAACCCATGTCGTCTGCTAGGAACACGACGATGTGTGGAGGTCTCTTCTCAGCTCCTCTCACACTTTCTCCAAGCAAAGACAACATTACAATGAACACGGAGATAATAAGCTCCATCTTCACCTCGGCAGAGACTTGGTATGTATTCACTGACAAAACCTATAACGTTGAACGTAAGCATTTCATTTCATATTCTGCAAAAACGCCCCGTGTTAAACAATGTGTTGACCCGCACCGCATACATATATAGCAACATTAGGGCATTTTTTAATTCTATATTAAGTACATGATGCCTCCGATACGGGTCACAGACATTGTACAGCTTCCATGTCCCCATTTTCCTATATGCTTAGCAAGGTAGAGTTCATATGGAAACCGGTTAAAAAACACAGGCCTCCTTTTTATGACGGAAATTGTATATATACTTTATTAATACTGTGGAAATACTGTAGTTTCATTAGATCTCAGTTTGAGTTACATTGTACCTGTTCAGTTATTTCACCTTCACCTGAACGGATTTTTCAGTTGTTACCAAGTCTGTCAGAGTGAACAAACGAAGCAGTCAACAGGTAAATCCAATATGTGGATCTATCATAAATGAAAACTTTAAGACTATTTATTTATACTTTTCGCACTAGACCGATCGAGCTGGTAAAATGCATATGGATGAATAATATAGATACATAGATAATGCGTGCCTTTAGCAATCCAATGAAATGCATATGATACCTGCGCTGGTACATAAATTTTGTGATATAATATGTGATATAATATGTGATATGTGATACAATATGTGATATAATATGTGATATAATATGTTTAAATATAATATAGTGCACGTGCATTGGGTTTTTAAACATGCTCCGTAATATGATAGAAGAAAAAACAATCAAGCATAAACGCAAATCACACTATGCACACTGATATAGGCCTACACAGGGGCTCTAATAAGCCATCTATACTCAACATTTGGAATTCTTCCACGAATTTATATTTAACATCCCTAAGTTGTTGTTGTTTTTTTAATTGCCTTAACTTTGCCATATCAACGAAACAGAAGCACTTTTTTCCAGATACAGTCACTATATGCACGTGCACAGACAAAACAAAAGGGAATAATTTAAGAAGAAAACTAACCATTTTCTGGATTTGATGTTAAGCAGAGACACGTATGCCAACCCCAGAAATGCGAAAGAGAATAGTATTTGTTTATTCTTTAAAACAAGCTGTCAAAACGCAGATTTAAGTGGCGGCCCTCAGTTTTGTTGACACGGTGTTTTTGAAGCCACCAAGGGCAATGTGCCAAATACAATTACTAAATTTAGAATAACATTCTTAGTTAGAAATACGAGAACTTATATAGCAGTGTCTTTTTAGACTTAGAGAAGTAAGCGATTTCCATGATGGGGTGGACTTCTGTCATTCCATCGGTTCTTGCTTGGGTTTTGCTGCATCGGATTTGTCCGGCTGTTTCCGCCACACCGCCGCACATTGTCTTGTTCCTAGCAGACGACATGGGTTGGAATGACATAGGTTACCATAACAACCAGGTGAAATCGCCAACCCTGGATAGACTGGCTAGCGAGGGAGTCAAACTGGAGAATTATTACGCCAAGTCAGTGTGTACTCCAAGCAGAGGAGAATTGTTAACAGGTCGGGATGCGGTGAGTGGTTTGAATTTCCACCACATTTTCGCGTTCCCTATAAACATGTAGGCCTACTGCCCAAGCTATCACTTCAGTTCCTCTGCATCAGATCCCACTCTCTCATATGCATCTCCAACACCATCTCTCTTTCTTTATCTCTCTCACTGTTCATTTCCGTCCTCTCTCTCTCTCTCTCTCTCTCTCTCTCTCTCTGTGTTCATTTCTCTCTCTCTCTCTCTGTTCATTTTTTTCTCTATCTTTCCCTTTCTCTCTGTTCATTTCTCTTTCTCTGTTAATTTCTCTCTTTCACCCTCTTTCTCCCTTCCACCCCCTCTTTCTCTCTCTCTCTTTGGTCTTTCCCGTTTTTCAAGAGTAACCTCAATCACCCATGTGTATTTTAATTCATACACTTCAATAACTGATGTACCCGTCTCTTATCATATCTTTACTTACTTATCCATTTATTTACAGTTAGTTTTTTATCTGTTCATTTAGTCATTTAGTTGGTCAGTTAGTCCATTAGTTAGTTAGTTAGTTAGTTGGTTAGTTTGTAAGTCAGTTTGTTAGTCAGTTTGTTATCAAACTAATAATTGTATATACATGTATAACTTTAGAAATGTCAACGATTTCTAGGTAACCACCGGTCTGTCGGTTGCCTACATGCATGGCTATCCCGTGGGGATGCCTTTGACGGAGAAACTACTCCCCCAGAGGCTAAAAGAGAGGGGTTACGCCACCCACATGGTCGGGAAGTGGCATCTAGGGCACTACACGTACAAACATACCCCAACGTATAGAGGCTTTGACAGCTTCTATGGTGAGTTAGGAAACATGTTTCTTCCAGCAAGACCTAAACTCAGTGTAGAGTCAAATATTTCTGCTTCAGTGTAAGAAGTCTTCTTCAGTGTATGATACTGGTACAATATCGTTATAGCCTCTATATACACTGTATGCATACCATTATATACCGTTACCTGTCACCCTCGAATTGAAAATAATATTGAGGCTCCGGGTACTAATGGCGCATTCAGAACAAGACGATCCGCGGACTAACAAATCCGTGGATCAAATATGACATACCCACTTGAAAGCTTGCCGCATAATCCTTAAATAGACACTGAATAGATTCTCTGCGGGGATAGCGCAACAAGCATTCAAGTAGGACGGCCATATTTGATCCGCGGACTACTTAGTCCGCTGTTGTGAATACGGCCTTAGATTTTACGATTTTTTTCCTATTTAGGGATATACGGCGGAGGCACAGACTTCTATTCCCACAGAAATTGTCTCTCGGCATTTCCTGGTGTCTGTGGCCTTGACCTTTGGAACGGAACGGTGCCAGATCGGTCCAAATACGGCGTGTACGCAACAGAGATATACTCTCGCGTGGCAACAGATATCATACGCCATCACAATACCAATAAGGTAAGTACAGGGGATCGCTACAGTGAAGAGTTGTCTTTTCATAACAAACATGATTACGTTTTCAATTTAAGTTTTCAATTTCAGTGTTGCATGCAGCTTATTTTACAAACGTTTTGTTGTGTCATGATAGGCACTTTATCCATTTTGCAGCCTTTGTTTTTGTACATGCCATTCCAACTCGTTCACGAACCGGTTCAAGTCCCGCAGAGATTTGAAAGCCTATATGATGGGTTAGTTCCGAGTGGCGTGAGGAAAACGTATTTAGGTACGTTAATTGTCCAAGTTGAAAGGAGTCAGATCTGGGCATTTTCAGGAGCTTATCTCTCGTTTATTCTGCCAGGTACCAACACATGTAACCTCACCACTGTAGTTGTGTGTGATCATTGTGTGCACGTGATCATTATTTTTCTTTCCTTGTCAGTCTCATCTTACGTGGTTTTTATAAGCCTCTACCATATTGTAGCATCCTGGTCAAACTGTCTGTAATGTTTTTTTTCTAGGAATGGTGTCCGCTTTGGACAAAACGGTATCTGATATTGTGGAGAGTTTGATACAGCAGGGGATGCTTGAGAACTCCGTGATTGTATTTTCATCCGGTAGGTGGCGTTTGTTGCTGCTGTAACAGATAGTATTTTTATGCACTGGAGATGAAATAGACTAAGACTGCATTCCCACAGATTTAAGATCGATCTATCCCCCTGGGGAGTCTCGCTAGATTACTGTCAGCTTAGCCGGCTAAAACTTTTTTGTTTACAATACAACTGAATGATTAAGTCTAACCAACAATTCACCACTGTTGTCGTGGAAGTTTTGCGATAATTTTCAGACAATGGCGGTGCGCCAAAACAGGGCGCTGACAACGCCCCCTACAGGGGCATCAAGGGATCTCTCTGGGAAGGTGGGATAAAAGTGCCAGCTTTTGTATGGAGTAAACTGCTACAGAGACCGGGAAGAACCGTTCGTGACCTCATTACCATCACAGATTGGTGTCCGACATTGCTCGGATTAGCGGGAGTAGATGTTAAAAATCTTGGATTAGATGGATTTGATGTTTGGAATACTTTAAGGTGGGTGACACTTTTCCTAGGTTATAATTGAAAATTTGTGGTCATCACTTCCATCTGCTTGCGTGGGTGATTTCGACTTAACTTTTTTTATTTTTTATAGCATGCATCACAAATCTTTGCTTTTATTAATGAAAGTATATCTAGCACATTTGATTGTTTTAAGAGCTTACGTATATATTTTTCCATCATCCAACCAGAATCCAGGATATCTCTGCGCGAATTACTTTGGATAAATATTTCTTTGGTCTCAAAAATACAACCGTTTAGTCTTTAACTCGACCGCCACTTTCAGTTCCGGAAAAACGGGTCACAGATACGAGGTCATCCATGAACTGATATCTCCCTCGTCGTGGTACCCCCCTCGAGGACGCCCGCTTTACAACGACACCTTTGACACCTCACAGAGGGCGTCGCTAAGACGTGGGGATTGGAAAATCATCACGGGGACTGCAGGTAGTAATAGTAAATAAAAAATTTAATAAATCAAAGAAAACCAAGAAAAGAGATATCCTACGATTTAGATACGATTTTGCCATTCATCATTTTCTCATTTGCTCCACATAAATTTTGCACGTTTGTATATATATATATGGTATTGTACATGTGCTGTAACTGCATGTGTGTGTGACACTTAAAATGTTTTACAGGTATAAGGAATACAAAAATTAAAGAAAAAAACGAGAAAAAAAAACGAGTAAAAAAGGCCCTCGCGTGGGAAATGAACCTATATGGACATTTTATATAAAACGTTTCTTTTTTAATATATGTTTTTCCTAATACAGCTTTTGTCACAGAGTATGTCGATGGAGAACCAGTGGAACTTGAAATCATTGGAATCGACCCCAGCATCCAGAACGTGTCCCTTAGCAAGAACGTGTGGCTGTACAACATTACTAAAGACCCGTTTGAGCAATATGACGTTTCAGAAAAATACCCGGATGTAGTGCGCCTCATGTTGGACAGACTAGAAACTATCCGGCAGATGGCACCACCTACAATATGGCCCGACCCAGATCCAGCCCTAAATGCAGCAACACAGAATGGTGTTTGGGGTCCGGCCGTTTATCCTACTAGTGGTTCCACCTCTGAAAGTGCTAATCGTTACTTTTGGCTTTATTTCCTCGCCTCAACGGCTTTTAATGTATTAATGTGAGACTATTTAAAGTTAAGAAGTACTGGTGGACTAGAACGAGTCTTTTAATACGATTTACCAAATGAAATCAAGTAGTTATGTCAGAATATAGCTCATTGATTTGATTACGTACAAGGAGAAGAAAGTAATAAAGGGCATCCTTTAAAGAAATAACTTTGCCTAACTCTTCAATTTATATGTGCCAAGCAAATAAAAAAGATATGAAAAATGTTGAACTACTAAATGGCACTTGTTGGTAATGTCTTGAAAAGACCTTTTCTTTTTAGAAAATAATTCCTTACGTATCAGACTATAAAAAAAATTAATACGTTAACGGTTCCTTAGTGTTTATTTATATTTATCTAACATATATTTTCTTAATTTTGTGTATAGAGACATAGACGAGAGTAAGATGCGTTTTTGAGTTGGAAAAGGTAAATTTTGAATAAAAATTCGATCCCGGTGTGATAGGAATTGTAGTCCGCTAGCAACCGTAGGCAGTTCCCCATTACTGTGTACAGGTGACATTTGTTCAATATACATATACTAACCACAACACTTCCTACTAACCCTTACCAGTTCTTATCATATGGATCCGCGGGCTTCCATTCCTAGAACTGCAATACCTGTCACACCGGACCTTTAAAGAAACGAAGGCCAAGTTTCACGTAAAAGGGCCCACTATTTTTCAGAAAGTGCCACCCTTGAGGCAATTTTTCTGGTACGTTTTAACATATTTCGTTCATTCGAAAGTTTCCCCTCAAGTTTCTGCCCACGATCCTTAAAAGAATATCATATGATTGATATGATACGTTTACTGTACTACCGGTAAAGCAATGTGTCAATTACGCTTGACGTGAATTTGTAATGTAACAGGCTGTTGAAAATATAGTTGGTCTTCAGATAATGATAAATGATAGAAATTAAAACTTTTGGACCTATTTTATGGTGGAGAGCAGGATGGGCCTGATGAGAAATTAACAAATTGTTCATTTGGCAGTAGTAGATCGGAAATATCCAGAAAA